TTTTTTATTATAAAAAATTAATTGGTTGATTAATAAAATTTAACTTAAATTCTTTTTATTTTTAATATAATTTTTTTGTCAATATTTTATTAGCATAAAAAAAAAAATTTGAAAAAAGTAAAATTTGATTGTAAAAGATAAGTTTGAATTGAAATTATTTTTTAAAAAGTAAAAAAATAAGCTTATTTATATAAATATTCTTATATTTATTAGAAATAAACTTAAATATTATATTAAATTAATAGAAAATTTAAAGTAAATTAGATTTATCAAAATGATTTATTACAATAATATAAATAAAATCATTCTTTTAATTTAGTAAATTCTTTAAATATTTGATATTATTTTAGCAAAAAATGATAAATTATGAAAAAATTTTGGTTTAAATCTAAAAGTTCAATTTATTAAAATAATATAGACCCTAACAAAAAGAATGGTAAAGACAATTTTTGACAGTATATATAAACTTTATTTTTAATATTTATTTTTTTATTTAAAAGAATAATACTAATAGAACATTTTTAATAATTAATTAATATTTTGTATATCATTGATACATGCTTAAATCAGTTTAGTATGCTATTAATATATTGAAGTAATATATTATCATCAAGATCCTATTCTTGCTAGATTATATTAAGGAAAATATTATAGATAATTTTTTTTATTACCATATTCTTAATCCTTTTTTTTAACTTTTTTTTTAATATAGTTTATAGAGGGTGATCACGGATATCTGAATGATAAGTATTTTTTATTTATTTACTTTATTTACATGTTTACATATATTTTTAATTTAAGTATTTGTTTAATATATAAATAGATGTCGATTACAATAATAGCAAATAATTTTCTTTCAAACAAAAATGGTTAAAACAAAAGAATTTAATGCTAAATAATATGAGGTAATTTTTCACGATCACAAATAAGATGATTCATATCAAAAAATTGCTAATATCGTTTAATATAGTAAAATAATTATCTATGATATGATAAAATGTTTTAAAGAAACTAGTTCTGCAATATTGAAAAAATGTTGTGACCAGAAGTCACTTTTTAATTCAAATTCATAATTTTTACTCAAAAAGATTATTACATAAAATTCAAAGTATCATCACCTTATTACTCAAAAAATTCAAGAATTATAGACTAAAAAAAAAAGAAAGTTTTAACTATTACAATTTGTCAGACTCTTAAAAAAGTCAGCTTACATTTATGTATTACCTACTCTAAACTATTAATTTCTAAAAATAATAAAGAAAAAAGATTGGCTTAAACATTGGAATGAAAAGATTGGACAATTGCAAAAGTTGTATGATCTGATTTAGCTAATTTTCACAAGGTCGTAGCTTACGTATGTGATGTATACTAGAAGAAGAATTTGATCCTTTTTATTTAACTGCTACAGTAAAGTACAGTTTTAGTCAAATATTTTGAAAATATTTTTTGTGGTATAGGCTGAGACCTCTTGTTTCTCTTTACGAATCTGTAATAGGACAAAGATATGTAAAAGTATTACAGAGGCATGCTATTCCTTTAATTTACAAATTAGTTCTTTACAAATAAAGAATTTTTTAAGAGAATAATGCTTTACCTTATTGAGCAAATATTGTCACTGATGTTTGTAACATCTCTAAGATTTCTATTTACCCTAGCCTGCATAAAGACTGATTTAAATCCTATTAAAAATCTTTGAAATAAACTTGATAAAAAACTTTGTAACTTGCCTAATTAATTTAAAAATGTGAAAGATTTAAAACGTAAGGTAAAATATGCTTAGCGTTTAATTCTTTTTGAGTATATTCAAAATTTGATTAAAAGTATACCCATCACATTCAAGCATATATAGCAGCCAAAGATGATTTAACAAAGTATTAGTTTTTTATTTTTTTTTAATAAAATATATAGGAAATATTCAAAATAAATAAAATTTTTTATTTATTCTAAAAAGAAAGTTAATATAATAAGTAAATTCAAATAGTTTAATTAATCGTTCAGGTATTTGTAATCACCCTCTGTATATATTTTTGATAGGATTCAAGTCTAGGCTATATGAAAATTAAAAAATAATTCTTTTTAGAAAATATTTTTTTAAATTATTCTAAACATCTTATAAGGTATATTTTGAATCATTATCTTATTAAAAGATCTAGTTGCAACTGAGTAATATTGTTATATTATTATATAAATGATCTTAAGATATTTCAGTATAAATTACAGTTTAAATTTTTAGTAAATAAATGAATGCTAACTTTTTTTAATGCTAATCGCTACTTAAATATAAATTCTGAATAGATACTTTACCATAAGAACAGCTAGTTATACTTTATAAAATCATATACAAATAGTATTTTTAACTATTTAAAATATTGTTTCATTAGAAAAAATAACTTTTTTTTTCAGTTATAATGCAAATGATCACATAATCAAGAAATCTAATATTCTTCATTTTTTGAGTTAAGAGAGAAATTTTCTTAGCATAACAGAAATATATCTAAGATTTTTAAGTTCATATTATATTATACATTTATTAACCTCAAGTTTAGGATCTTTTTCTTCTAATTTAACTTTAAGTTTATCTGCAATAATGAAATAGTTATGTTTTAGAATTTTCTGATATAGTAATGTTCTTTTGTGAATAATTTTCTTAGATAGATAGAAGAATGACTAATAGTAATATTTATAGTTTTACATAGTAAAATAACATATCATTCATATATACATAAAAGAATATATAATTATTTACAAATTTTCTTTATACTATATATATTTTGATCTTAAAGTCTCTTAACAGAATTTCATTAAATTTCAAAAGAGCTTGACATTTTTTCATTAAGAAATTAAAACAAAAATAAAAACAAATCTTATTTTTTAACTTATCTTTATATTATAATTTTAATATCCAATTTGATCTTATAAATAATAGCCATATTAGATACACAGTTTTATTTTAACCTAAAATAATATTTAAATCATTATATTTTTTATTAAGATTATAAATATATTATTCTAAAAGAACAATAAATAATTTATTCAATTAGAATAATAAAGTATTATTTCAAATAAATGAAAAAAAATTATTTAATTAGAATGATAAAATATTATTCTAAATAAATAATAAAAATCATTTATTTGAAATAATAATAATAAATATTTTAAATAAATGATAAAGGAATTATTTGATTAAAATGATAAAATATCATTTCAAAAGAATGATAAATGAATTATTCAATTAAAACAATAAAATATCATTCTAAAAAATGATATAAAAATCATTCATTTAGAATAATAATAACAATTATTTCAAATAAATAATAAAAAATCATTTATTTAGAATAATAAATATATTGTTCTAAAAGAACAATATAAAAATTTATTCATTTAGAATAATAAAAAATTGTTTTAGTTATATAATTTAATTATTATTTAACTGAAATAATTAAGTATAATTTAATTAGAATGATAAAAAAATTATTTCAGTTGAAAAATTCAATTATCATTCAATTAGAATAATAAAAAAATTATTCCAGTTAAATGATTAAGTATTGTTTAACTAAAATGATAAAAAAAATTATTCCAGTTAAACAATTTAATTATAATTTAATTAGAGATATTTAAAATTTATTTGAGTTAATCTTTGAGTTGATGTGATTTAAACTGTTTTAAATTTGAAAAGATTAATTTAAATCATAGATGAATTATAAGTTATATGATTTATTATTAATTATTATAAAATCAATTTTTATCATTATTAAAAATAAAAATAAAAATTATTTAATATTAAACAAGAACATTTGTCTAATTTATTATTGTATATATTCTTATATATATATATATTTTTTTATTGATAATTTAAAATAAATTAAACAATAAAATATTTTTAAATTTATATTATAAAAACCAATCTAATTCCTTTTTATTTCAATATATTACCTAAATGTTTTAGTTAATACCTATATTAAATTTTTTTACTAATACTTTTACTGATATTTTTTGTATTAAAGATAATCAAAATTCTTTTAAATATAATACTAATAATATTATAGAAGAATTTTAAAATAATGTAGTAGTTAGATATAAACATTAAATATTAATGAAAAAATAAAAAATAAAAAAAAAATCAGCACTTGTTTATGATTATATTGATATACTTGAAAATGATAGTCATATTTACAAGAATTGTAAAAATAGATGGGAATCTGATGATTTAACTCTTGAAAAATTTAACAATATATTTAAAGTTTTTTAATATAATTAAAATAATAAAATTTTTTATTCTTCTTAAAGATATTATTTTTAACATTTTTAAAATAATCAAATTATAGTAAATCATATAATATTTTAATTATAATTTAAAAAAAAAACTATATTACAAAAGCATTTTTAATTAAATTTTATAATAATAATACTATTTATGAAAAAGCATTGAAACCATATTTATAATAATAAAAATTAAAGTTTATTAAAAAAAAAAAAAAGATAAAAATCCATAAAATCAAATCGAGAATTTGATTAAGATAATAAAAAGATATATAAAAAGATTTTTTTTGCCATAATAATTGAAACAAAACAAGAATAAGAAGTTAATCTAAAGAAATATGAAGTATAGATAAAATTAAAGAAAAAACCTGAACTGAATTAAATGAAACATCATTTTTTTTTCTGTTTTGTTGCATATTAATTTTTTATTTTAAAATCGTTAATTATTAATTTGGTATTGTTTAGTGTTGTTTACATTACACATTCAATTCTTTCCTCATGTGCCAGCCGAAAGATGCACTTAAAAAAAGAAAACTTCAAAAGAAAATACATAAATGTTTACATAATCTATCTTAAATACTAAAATATATTGTACAATAAATAGTTCAGGAAAGTGTGAATTAAAAATATCAGTTAAAATATTTGTTGATATAATAAAATATAATAATAAGTAATAGTTAGTCTATATATAGATCATTCATTAGCTAATTCTATACATGAAACACTAAAACTATAAGGGATTAACAAGCACAACTATTTCCTTCGCTGTTATTTTGAGTGCCAGAATTGATGTTGACATCAATGACTAAATATATATTTTTTGAAAGATTAGAAGTTTTATTATAAAAATTTATCAAAGGACAAAATAAATCCTTAACTTACGTTGATTTTGAGGCTCATTCATTGTATTCTCCATTCCGGGCAAAGCCTGAGCGATTTTACGGAAGAGTGTTTTAACATTATGTCCAGCTTTTGCACTTGTCTCGATAAACATGACATTAAATTCTTTAGCTTTCTTTTCCCCCTCCTCTGTTGTTACTTGTCTTAAATAAATAAATAAATAAATTTTTAATAATGATACTGAAACTGATCGATATTCGATACATTAATATTACCATGTACCTTTTGTCATTTAAATCTGTCTTGTTGCCAACCAGTACAATAATTACATCATTACCTCTTTCAGCACGAACATCATCGATCCATTTAGCAGTATTCATAAATGAGTTCCGATCTTTTAATTAGGACAAAAAAATTTTCAAATTAGAAATAGATTGATCAATTAATAATTAGTTATAAGGATAACATACTTGTAATATCATATACGACCACGGCTACAGAAGAATCACGAATATAGCTTGGAATTAAACTACGGAATCTTTCCTAAATGATTTTATTTAGTATATATATGATGTTAATTTTCATTTTCAAAATATATGTTCAAAATAAAGCTTGGGAGGTTTGCTAGTAAAAATGACTTTCAGAAACCACCCATATTGTTATTTATTATAAATTACCTGACCAGCTGTATCCCATAATTGCAATCTGACAGTTCTATCTTCCAAATACATGGTTTTTGATAGAAAATCTATTCCGATTGTAGCCTATCCACGTGAAAATTCCTTTAACCCGTCAATAATATTTAATCAAAATTTGACAAAAAAAATTTTCTAATTAAAAAAAGAACCATCTACCTGGTACGTGTTATCGAAAGTATCATACATAAACCGGGTAATTAACGAAGTTTTTCCAACTATATAATTAAACAAGGGAGATGTAAATTTATAAATTTTCTTTGGTCAGTCATCTTTAGACGTTAGAATATAGATTAGCACTATAGGTGTTTGATATGTAGACCAATCGCATAGGCTGTAACCTGACAGTTCCGAAGAAATGCAACAGAACTACAACCAAGCATTTTCAATGAAAATGTTAGTTATAATCGTTCAAACATACCACTTTGTTCACCTAAAAACACTAATTTGAACTTTCTCAAGGGATTACTGAATTCTGAAGGACTTGCAGCTGCCATATTTTCTATATCGTAAAGAACTCGTTGAATATTGATTGAGCTTTAACTATATTAGAAAGGGACGAAGTGAGTACGTGGCAACAAAAAACTATCCCTCGAAAAGTATAATATAATTATTGGTTACTGTGGCACAGTGAATAGCCATATCATATGATTTATTATGGTAAATTTAATTGGCTGTAGCAAAAACAGCGGACAATTGGAATATATATGTGATATATATTTTTATAATAATACAATTCGTAAGTGTCCAATAAATAAATTTTTTTTTTTTACATTTGAAAATTTCAACAGACATTAGCTAAAAAAGGTGAATAAAAAAAAAAAATTATATTATATAATAAAACAAAAAGGATTTAATATAATGCGATGCTAATGTAAAATATGAATTTTGAAGTATTATAATGAATTTCGAATCAAAGAATGTCAAAATAATGTGAAAATTTTTTCAACGAACCTTTTTATCCGATTATTTACTCGGAATCGCTTTTGACATTTTCATAAACGGCTCCAATTATCTTTAATCCTTCTGCGCGTTTAATTAAAACTTCTTTACTTTCTTTAGAATCTGACAGTACACGATCACAAACTTCTCTTAGAACTCCCTCAACTTCGAGTTTGGAACCTTTCCATAAAGCCGTTAAACCCTTAAATTTATTTAAAAGTATGTATTTAGATTTAAATTACGAAAATTTCATTCAAATAAAGTTATAAAAAATAAGTAGATTACTTTATTAGCAGTTGCTTCTTCCAGTTTACTCTTTTCAACATCGTTCAATCCCTCCAGTTCAGCTTTTTGTAATTCCTTAAAAGAATTCTGAAGATCAATAGCAGATCGCAATGTCGAAATAGTTTCCGAGAATACATGACCTTTCTCTCTTAATATATGTCCAAATCTAGGTAAACCAAAGATTTGATCACCACCTATATACTGTTTAGCTTTAAGTGAATAAGTAAATCCAATAGCATGTAATAATTCAATCCCATAAGATTCAGCTTTAAGATCATCTGCCTCAATCTCGATCACATTCTTAAATTGTTCGGCTCCCTTTGCATCGTTTGAATCGACATACATAGAAAGTTTATGTATTAGATTTGAAACCAATTTATCCACACGTTGTTGTCGAATCTTATCGCGTTCCTCTTCATTCGTTTCCCTACGCATTTCTGCACCGTCTCCATTAGTGTCTTCCGCTGCGTTTTGAAGAACCTCTTTCATATCTCGTCCAATTGATATCTCACCGATGATATCTACGAAACGATCACCACCAAATTGTTGTCTGAAAAAGTCTTCCGGATTAACTATTATGTAAAACAGATAAACAAAATTAATTAATTGATTACAAGAAAATTTAATAAAACCTAGTAAAAATCTTTACCAAAGCCACCCTCAGGCTCAACATCATTTTTTCCACCAAATTCGTTATATTTCTTCCTTAAATCAGGATTTGACAAAATCTGATAAGCATCTGAAATTTTCTTGAACTATTAAAGAAAAAAAAAAAAAGAAAAAAAATTTTGTTAAAAAATAAATAAATAAAGGTTTTTAAGTATATAGTATGCATTCTCGAAAACATCAATTACTTGGTATTCTGCGTCAGGGGACTTATTTTTATCAGGATGAAATTGTAGTGCAAGTTTATAATATTGTTTCTTAATTTCACTACTTGAAGCGGTTGGAGAAACCCCAAGTATATCATAAAGTTCAGTTTCCAAAGGTTCTTGTTCTAAGTATGAAAAATAAATTAGCTATATTATTCAAAGTAAAATTGAAAGATCTTTTTATGATTTCATACCTGTACCGAATTGTCGTCTTGGTTTTTTCGAACTACCAGACTTATTATTATTATTATAATCACATGAGGTTGTTCCGTTTGTCTTATTTGCTTCTCGAATGGTATCGAATGTAGAAATTTTTTGACAGGAATAACACTGAACGGATGTTTGCTTGGATTTTGGAATCGGAAATTCCAGTTGAGTACGACAATGACTACATTGTTTATGATCAAATTCTGGTTTACGAGAAGAGATAACAGGTATTCCCATTTTTTGCGATCTAATATTAAGAGAAAGTTGTTGATATATAAAACATCTATCGCAGGAAATTTGTTATTAAAATTTTCATATCACGTGCCTGATTCTTTATCATAGATGATTCTTTTTTAAGCATTTTCACGTGTGCGAAGATTGGGAAATCATTTACTCTCAAAAAGAAAAAATCTTCCTATATATGGAACTAGATATACCCATATTGAATGAGATTGTTAAAAACCATCAGATAATTATGCGAGACTGAATTTAGCCATTACATAATTTGGGTTTGATATCGAGTTTGTTAATGTTACTGAAAAATATAGGTTTCAGGAAAATGCCAAGAAAATATAAAAATAATTTTCCATAATCATAGCATCATAAATTCAAAAAAAGTTTTTGGATGAAGACTGGGATACGGATGCCTTATCGTTTCAATTTACAAAAGACTCGACCAACATGATATTATTTGTAGCATATATATTTATTGATAAAAATAATCCTTTCTACTTTAAAAATTGTTCTGAATCATCGAAATTATGCCACCACTGTCAGATCTAACAATTATACTAGTGAAGCGTTCTATTCCACTCTCTATGATCAGATCGAGGTCAAATAGAGTTTTTGACATAAATTCTTTCTTGAAGGCATCTGAAAGTTTCCATCTATGATATAATTTTTTTATGTGTTCCAGAAATGGCAAGATTATATCCTTTGGATTGTATAAATTTGATATGTTGGTCAATACTTTATACACAGCTTATTCTACCTCTTACTACATAATCTTCCGCGCATGCTTTCTTAATTTCTTCATATTGAACAGGAATAAAATCTGATAATTTGATTCCATAAATATAAATCTATATGAGAAAATGAGGTTTCGTACTTTTCTCTACATACGCAATCTGTGATATCCATCAAAGACCCAACATAGGATCTAACCTTTTTGATGTCTTTAAAATATTTTCGAATCTTTTTGGCCTTTTTATAATACTCGTAAACAAATCTTGGGTGTATATTATCATAGTTAATTTTAGCAAATTCTAGGAAAGATTTAATATGTAATTTGTCTTTACTATAGATTATATCGTTCTTAAGTAATTCCAATCTATATCCAAGATTAACAGAACAGTACTTCAATACAAAAGACCGTAAAGTTTTCTTTCGAATGACATGGGAGCAATTTTTGGATAAAAACTTCCAGATATTCTTTTATTTTGTCAATATATTTACGATCATTTTCAAGCACTGTTCTTAGCGATGTAAACTTTACACTTGGATAAAATTTTCAAGTTTATTGCCACTACTTCTCTGTCTCTTGTCAGTATAGTTGCTAGGTAACAAGAAAAATTTCTCAATCTCCGACAATTTAATGTCTTCTTCACTTACTTCGTCGACGACAAATTTGATGCTTCCAGCAACACAACACTTTACTATAAAATTCTTCACTTTTTTTTGTTTTTTTTTATTACCTGATTTTTGATAAATATGGAAAATATTTTTGAAAATCGTATAGATCGTTATAGGTGAAATTGAATAAAAAATGATTTCCGAGATGTTCAGCATTTAAAGTTTTGAGTTTATTCAATGAGACCCAACTCTCGATGTTAGCAATTTGTAAAAGATAATTTGGTTGGCATTTGTAACTAATGTTTATGCCAATTATTTAAAAGCTTAGCAGGCATTCATACTTTATTCCTCCCTTGAAAGTTCTTTTGCAATATAAATTTTTGTGTTTTTAACATGAATGCACCGTATTGTGACACAAACAGAGATTAATCCTCAACTGCGCATAAATCTGCCCATTGCGCTAAATAATATTTTGAGCATGTACAACATCCTAAAAAAAAATAATTTAAGATGCATAAATACACGCGTCTCTATTTAACGAAACTTTAACGCGTCGAGAGCTTTACGTTGCATACTACGCTGAAATTTCCACGAACATTTTTTAATACACTCATCATCATGTCTGATATTACCTTTTACACCCGAGAAACTATGGAAAACGTTCCATACAACAAATTTTTCGAAATTTTTTCCTGTGATAAATGGTCTCTTTATCACTATGTGTCCTTAGTGATTGATAATTACAAGTTCGACGAGAAAAAGAAAGCCCATCGTACCTTTTTCAATACCTTAGATGACATTAATGACAATCATGGCATATCGAAATATTGCTCAAAATCTCGTAAAGAGAAGAAAGGTAAGCATATTTAGAATAACCAATTTTGTTTTGATGGGGTTCTCGAGCCAGATACTTGTACTATTACCACGCCCTAGTAGGAGTCCTGCAAGTATTGAAATGGGTGCGTTTATTATCTGCGCCATAGTAAACTTTATGGAATGTGTCAATTTTATAGTAATATCTGCTGATTGCGGAAAAGGATTCGACAATGTACCTTTCTTTGCGTTAAAAAAAAAAAAAAAAAAGTATCTATTGACATGTTCCTGCATTCGCCATCAAATCATTTTTTTTTTATCTGATTGTGCTTATTAATCACCTAGTTTTACTTCATAGGCTGACGTTAATAAAGGTACCGGCAACATCATCATCAATACCACAGCCATCATCACAACCATCATAATTAGGAAAAAGGCAAAGAGAATCAGCTTCCACAAACTTCTCTTCGAAGAAGCAATGTATAGTCCCGGAAATAATTTGCTTCTGTCCGAGTGTGGATGTACCTTTACAAGCAGATGGATCGATAAATATTCTAGGGACCGTGAAGTCTACTGTATGGGAGAGCACGTATGATGCTGAGATGTATAGGATCTTAGTGAATTGGCTTGCAATAGTGTATGGCTTCGAAATAACTGGCCAGTGGAATCTCGAAAAGTGTGCAATGATGGTGACTACCATCATTTTTACTGCGACCTGACAATTAAGAAGCTGTCCTTGAACTTGTAGCATCAGGATCTGTACCTAAACTTATAAAACATTTTGATCGGGTAATTAAGTATGCCGACCAGTTTTATGTTTGGATCGTACACTTTTCTAGTGAGGATTCCGTTGCATCTGACCATGTAAAAAGCTTCAGGAGGATTAAACGTCGTTCCCTTCTGGCATGACCAAGGTTTTAGTAATATTCGTATGAATGTTAGGTTTCACTGGCGAATTTTGTGAAATAATATACGAGCAAATTCTACCTTGATTTATTCCTGTATTGTTCGCCTGAAAAGGCTTTATTTTTCTTGTCAAATTTGGACCTGTTGTCGCTGAAATCACGTGAAATTTTCCAAATTTTATTCATCGGTCAGAATTAATGATTCTATCAGATATTTCCAGATGCATCTATTTTTCTAATTCAAAAAAAAAAGAAGTTAACAACAATCAATTATGGAAATTTTTAAAAATATATATTCATAAAAATTTGGGTTGATTAGTTATCTCGAAATCTTTGTGATATTGATGCGTAAAATTATTGACTGCGCATGGACATTGTTCGACATTACGAAATAATAATTTATACATAATTTGATTATAATTTTTTTTCTGTTGACCATTGCATCAGTATCGAAGTTGCTAAAGCAACCAGAATAACATGTAAATATGATCAAAATGCAATAAATGCAGCGAGTAGACGCGATTGAGGGGACATTGTTTATATAAATTTCTCAGAATGCACAGAATGCACAGAATATGTTCCTAGAATGCTTAGAAAATAAGAATTTCAGAATTTTTTATTATTTATAAAATGATAAACATTATTTGAAGTAACTTAATCAGCTTTCTCATTTCATCAAAATTGAAATATAGTTCCATCTCACATCATGAAATACCATACAGGTAAGTAGTATTCATCCTGAAGTGGGAGATTTATTAAATCAGGCGGCCCAAAAATATATTAATGAAATATAATGTAAAAATTTAATGAGCCATCAAAATGTATAGCTGTGTAAATTAAATCAAGAAATGAAAAAAAAATCAAAGACATTCTTGATTTACAAGAGCAATATAAATCTCATGAATTTGCTATAGCTAAGTTTTTTTTGTGAAAAGTTCACTTTTTGATTTCTTCATTTTAAGAAATAATCCATATTTCTAAGATTCAGCAAAAAAAGTCTATTAATATATTAGAAGAAAAATGTCAATAACTAGAAGATATTATTTCTACTAAGAATAAAAATTATTATTCTCATTGATCAGATTATTTTTCTATATAAGATATAGTGATATAACTATAGAAATGAATATATATTCTAGTACTTTAAAAAAAGATTATAAGTGAAATAATATAAAGATTCTGAGTATATTTTAAAAATTCAAAAAAATACATGTTTTATGATTCTTTTATAGTATATAATTAGTATATTAGACCAGCAACTTAATTATTTTTTAGTAATAAATTTTAATTTAAATTCAAGATCAGATTTTATTTAAAAAATATATTTTATCTGTTTTATATCTAAATAATGATTTTGAAATATTATTAATTAAAAATAATAAAATAATAATTATTAATATTTTTATATAATTATACTAATCATTAATATATAATAAAGAATACAACTTAATTTATTTAAAATAAATCCAATAAAGAATACCAAGAGCAAAACTAAAGATGTCAAGTTAATGTTATAATCATTTAATTATCATTGAAACGTAATTTATAAGAAGTTTACATCATAAATAAGTTATTAGCAATCTATCCATTAGTCACAGATATTAATTCTATAAAAAATAATATAATTTAGCTTTTTTTTTGAGCTAATTTTTTATAAACTCAAATTAGTTCAAATTTTATTTAAATATAATCTAATCTAATTTCATTTTTATAGATTTAATCTAAATCTAAATCTAACAAATCAGTTTAAATTCAAATCTGATCTAATTAAAATCTATTTCTAAAAAAATTTGAAAAGTTTCTTTTATTGAAAAAAATAATTTTCAGTTTTAAAAAAAAATCTAAAAATATTTCTTTCATTAGAAAAAAATTTTAGTCATTTTAATTAAATGATAATATATTATTTTAAGAAAAATAATAATAAATTATTCTAATTAAATAAAAATATATCATTTAAAATAAATAATAATAAATCTTTTAATTAAATAATAATAAATTACAATTAGCTCTAAATATAACAAATCTGTTTATATCAAAAATTTATTATATTAAACTATGTATTATAAGACTGATTATTTTATAATTAATCAAGCTGGATATAATGAATTCATATAATAAAATATTATATATTATATCTGAACTAATTTTAACTAAATATGTATATTAATTCATATATTTAATAAACTAAATGATTATGTAATTTAAAATTTATCATATGAGACTATTTAATTGAAAAATATTATATTATAAAATACAGATAATCTTATTTTACCAAATATGTTAATCTTTTTATATAAAAACATGAAAAATTTATTTTAAAAATTCTGATATATTTTTATTCTTTCTACTGTATAAAATATGAAATTTGTGAAATAAAAAAAATATTTTAATATTAGTTTTGTATAGTAATACTAATTTTTAATATAAATTGATAAATTTTATTATTATTAAGTAACCACATATCTGTATTTTTATTAGTCAATCTTATATATTAAACAGTTTAGTATAAAATATATTAACATATAGTGAACTTACTTTATACAACTAAATCATCTAGAATACAGATTCATTATATTCAGAGTCAACTGTATTCTAATTAAATTATAATAAATTATTTAAGAAAAATTATTACAAATTATTCAAAAAAATAAACATTTCTAAATTAAAAAATAAAATAAGGTAAATATCTTAAATAAATTATTAAAAAATTAAAATATTAATTAAACCTAAGATCGTAGATATTAAAATTTGAAAATTAAAATCAAAATCAAATATATAAATTAGAATAAAATTAATAAAAAATTAAAATTAATTTATATTACGATTAAAAAAAATCAAATATTAAATAAAAATTAATAAAATTAAATAAATAAAAACTAAAAAATTAAATAAAATTTAATAAAAAAAATAAAATCTGCAGGGTAAAATTATAATATAAAAAAATTAAATTAAAAAAAATATTAAAAAAAAAATATTAATTATCAAAAAAAAGATTTAAAACATAAGATTATTTAAATCTAATAATTATAAAAAATAATTAAAAAGTAATTAAAAAAATTTAAAATTAAAAAATTTATAAATAAGGCTTATTTAAATTTATTTTAAATTTGAAAAATGTTTAAATTTTAGTTTTATTAATTTTTTTATTAAGGTTTTAATATAATTTTACATTTTTATAAGCTTTAATTTAATTTTATCTTTTTCTAAGTATAGCATATTCATTAATAAAAATTTTATATAATTTTGTTAAATTTTACTTTTACTATTTAGATAATTTATTAAGTTTTATTTAATAATTTATTTATAAATATTTTAAATAAATAAGAAATAAATAAATTATTAAAAAAAATTAAAAAAATTAATTTAAATAAATCTAAATATTTTAGAGAAATAAAATTAATTAAATAAATTAAATTCTAGAGATTAATTAAAAAAATAAATAAAAAAAAATAATTTATTTAAATAAATAATAAATATAATTAAATTAAAGAAATCAAATTAAAAAGAATAAATTAAAACCAAAAAAATAAAATAAAAATAAAGGAGAAGGTAATAATTAAATTAAAAAAAATTAAAATAACAAAAAAAATCAAAAATCATAATCATAAAGTAAATAAATTAAAGATAAAATAAAATAAATTGTGATAAAAAAAAATAACTAAAAAAATTAAATTTAAAAAATTAAAAAAAGTAAAAATTTTAAATAAAAAACTAATTACAATATTAAAAACTAAAATAAAAATCAATATATATAAAATGTTGTAAAAAAAGTTATTTTATGTATACAAAAATACATGATTTTTAAATGTAATAAATATATATATTATAAAAAGAAAGAAATTAAAAGAATAGAATAAATTAACTAATTTAAGGATACTTTAATATATTAGATAAATATGTAATTAGTTTACTTAGCAAATTATTTTATTAGATTAATTTAATAAGTTATTTTATAAAAGTAGTGTAATTTAAAAAACTAAATAAAGAATTATTATCATATAATGAGTCTAATTAGAGATACTAAAAAAAAATTGAAGAAAAAAATATAAAATAATAAAAGAAATCTGAAATAGCAGAAAAAATTTGAATACAGAATATAAAGAAATAAAGTAATGATTAGATATAAATAGAAATAGTTTTTAAAATGAGTAAAAATGTATAAGTGATAAATTTTAATATTAAATTAATTATGTAATGTAACAGGATTGGATTGATGGATGTGGCGCAGCATATTGCAGATCTAAATGTCAGACATATTTGATATATTTGATATACCGGACATATTTGATATAGTTGATATCTTGGACATATCGGACATATAAGATATATTTGATTTATTTGTTATATCCATCTATGTACTAATTTATTATAAATAGAGAGCAATAGAATCATGTAAAAACAGTAGTTCGCTTTTAGTTTTCCTTTTAGTTTTCCACTAGTCTTACTTTTAGATACGCATCTAGTAGCCCTTGTAGAGGCGCCTGGCCTAACATTCCACTTAGTACTTTAAATCTTTAATTCCTTTTTTTTATTTTACTTTTTATTTCTTTCTTTTCCTTTCTATTATTATCTCATATCTTTATTATTATTTTTATCAATAAACGTATTATTATATCTCTGAATCAATCGAGTCGCTTTACTTTTAGCCTGATCGTGAATACACTACCGTGCAAACTATAAACCTTAAGATAAACTGAATTGGGCCACTACGTAAACTTAAAAGAATCACCACTCGAACACCCCGTCTAACTGTTGCAATTCGCAAGGATTGCACGTTAACAGTAATCAAAGTATTAAAGTTATAAAAAATTAAGATAAAATAATTAGAAAGAATAGGAATAATTATAATTTGTAGATTATTTTAATAAAATAAATTTTTTTTTTTAATAATAAACTTTATTAATTATAAATAAAAAAATCCTTTATTTTCTTATTTTTATAAAACTAGTCTTTATATTAAGAAAGTTTTTTTTTATAAAATAATTTAAAAAAAAATTATGACTGAACTTTATTAGACTTATAGATATTTATAAAAATGAAAGTAATAATAATAATAAAGATTATATTTTAATTTTCTGTAGATACTTTTTTTATAATATAAATTACTTTACTATAAAAAAATAATATACTTTAGTTTTTAACTTTTTGAAATAAATCATATACTATTTTTAAATTAAATAATAATTTAAATAAATAAAAAATATTATAAGTATTAATTAAAAATCTATTTTTTTTAAATAAAAAATATTAAATTTAAAATTTAAATATTTAAAAATTTATTAAAAAAATGTATACCTAAAAAAATTAAATTCAAAATCTAAAAATAAATAATTAAAATAAAAAATTTATTAAAAAAAATTGCTATTATTAAATTAAATTAAAAATTACAAATAATTTTAAAATAATTTAGCTTAAATTTGATTAAATTAAATATAGGTTAAATTATAATCTAATCTATACTAAATAAAGTCTAATTTTTAGTATAATTAAGCTGCTACTCAGTTTATATTTAGAAAAAACTCAACTAATATTTAACTAATATTTGACTTTATAACTAGTAGATATTTGACTATTATTAAATTTAAATGAATAAATATTTGATTATTTAAATAATAAACATTTAATTATTATTTAAACTTAAATAAACAAAATCAATACTTATAAAACTAATAAAATTATATTAAAATTTTAATAAAAAATTATTAAAACTATGTTTTATTAAATCTAAAATGAGTTTAAATAAGCAAGTTTAATTATAATATTAAAAACTTTATTGATTAATTTTAATAAATTTTAATTTTAAAATTTAAATTTCTAGCTTTTATATTTATTTATTATTTATATAAAATATAAACTTATTATAATAAAAAAATTTTTTAAATTAATGTAGATTTAATTATTTTATTAAAAAAATCATATTTGATTTATAAAGTAAAATTTATTTTATTATAAATTTTTTACTTTTTACTACAAAATATTTATCTAAAAATTTTTTATTAATTTGTAAATTAAATACTAATTTAATAAAAAGAATTTATATAAAAATAGAAATATTAAATGATTTATATATTAAATTAAAATTTATTTATAATTTTTATATTTTTTTCAAAGAATATAAAAAATAATAAATATATTTTTGATAATAAAATTTATTTTTTGATTTAAATAATTTTTTTTTATAAAACATTAAAGTATTTTAGTATTTTATAAAAATTTAAAATAATTAGTTAATTATTATTTATTAAAAATTATTTATATTATAAATTTTAAATTTATTATATATATTTTAAGTTTAAAATTTAATAAAATAAATAAAGTATTTTAATATTAAGATTATAATATTAATATATAGTTATAAAATTAAATAATTATTAATATTTTATAAATAAAATAGTTTAAAAATTAAATCATGATTTTAATTTTGAAAATAATTTGATTAGATTGGTATTATAATGTGAAATATAATATATTATTAGCTAATATATATTAAATTATATTATTTAAATTTAATTTAAATTTAAAATTTATTTGGTAATTTATATAAATTCTTTTAAATTTTATAAGTAAAATTTGTCTATTAAACAATTTAAAAAATAATATTTATATAAAAATTATAATGTATTATTTAAAGATTTTTATTAAAATATAATTATTATTACCTAATTAAATTAGATTTACAATTATATATTATTTAAGTAAACTTGATTTTATTAAATTATGTATAATTTTAGTAATTATAATAATTAAATATTAAGTTATTTTAAATATTTAATAAAATTAATAATTTTAAAGAACAAATTTTTACTAGTTTATTATTTTATTTTTTTATAATAATATTTAATAAAATAGTTATTAAAAATAAATAATATTTATATTAGGCTAATCTTAAACTTTAAGAAAATTGTTAACAAATTTGTTATTCATTTTCACACTTTTTTATTGGAGTAATTGAATTAACTGAAAATTTTGAATACAATGAAAAAGTGATATATAATATTACATTTATAAAGTTTTATTGAACTTAATCATTGCTTATCTATTATATATGAATATAAAAAAAATGACTTTTTACTGAAAAAAGTATAAAAAATTCGTGTTTTATTTTATTTGAAAGATAAATGCTTGCTTTGACAACTATCAAATATGATATAATTAAGTTAGTTTAATTGTAATTACATATGGTGTATAACATTTATAGTCATCAAAAATATAACATAAATTCAAATTGTATCTAGTTTTCAATTTAAATAAAATTAAAAAAACAAACTGATTTTCTTATAATTTATATTATAATTTTTCAAAAAATCAGCTTACATTTTGAATTAAATCATTATTCATAAAGTTATCAGAGTTTAAAAGTTAGATATATTATTAATAATTTATCAAATTTCAGACTAATTTTATATGGTATTTACAGAGGTATAATTGTAATTTAACTAATAAAAATGTATGGTTTTATCATGTAATTATATCGTTCTATCACATAATTTTATAAAATTGAAGTTTATATAATTTCCAGTGACCAAATTACTTTTTTATAATTAATCAATATAATTTAATCACAGAAAAGTATAAATTATAATAAATATCTGCAGTTTAAATGAAGGATATTATAATAAAGAAATTCATAAATGAAAAAATTTTTTTTCTGAAAATATTCGTGTTTTAATAATTAAATTAATAAATTGAAAATTTAATTCAAAAATGCGTTTAAATTTGAAAATGTATTTTATATCAAAATACTATCTTAAATGTATTTCAATTTTATTATTTATTATGTTTTATTATATTAAATTTAAAAATACCACTTCTTTCTAAGTAAAAGTAAAAATTAATATATCAAAATCGTATTGTAGACAGTAAATATAATATTAAAAAAGCCTGATATCAAAGTATAGATAACTACTAAAGTCAATCTGAATCCTTGATTCTGGTTAATAATAATTGTAAAATAAGAATAATAAAAAATGTAATACTGGTTATTATAACGCAGTTACTGCAATTATTGCAGATGATTCATTTGGTCTTCTTAGTGATAATTCATTTAGTTCTTCTAGTGATAGTTTTTTTTGGTCCTCCTGGTAATGTTTCATTTAGTTCTCCTGATAATAGTTCATTTAATCCTTCTGGTAATGATTCATTTGATTCTTCTGATGATAGTTCATTTAATTCTTCTGGTAATGGTTTGTTTAGTTTTTCTGATAATAGTTCATTTGATGATAGTTTGTTCAGTCTTTCTAATGATAGTGATTCATTTGATCCTTCTAATGATAGCAGTTCATTTAGTATTTTTATACCTTTTAATAATGACGAAACAACTAGTGACAAGATAAATTTAGAATCTTATAATGAAGAATTTGGTGAAGAAGAATGGAATGATGATGAAGACAGTGGTTGGAATGATGATAATAATATTGAAAAGATATAAAACCTAAAAATAAAGACCTTAAATTAGTATGAAAGAAAGATAGTAAACTAGAAAGATAAAATATAATCAATACGTAACAGAAAAAACTTCAAGATTTAGTTATTATGAAAAATATGGACTAATCAGTTTATTTACTGTTAATACTAAAAAATTACAAATTTTTTTAAAATTAGTGATCAAGCTGCAAATATATAACTCAATGAAATAGAACAAATTTCAAGTGATTCAGAAGATGAAGTTAATAATAAAAATACTTACCAAATTGACGAAATCTAAAAGAACAATTAGAAAAGCAATATAATCAAATAATTGTCACTGAATATAATAATAAATGAGCTGTTTTTGAATATCTTATTTGCTTAAATAATGAAAAAATGCATGCTAGTTTAAAAGTAACTAAAATAGTTTTTGTTGATAGTGGTTTATGAAAAGTACGATGCATCTAATATTATGATTATTTAATAATAAATTTTTAGTATCTAAACGTAAAAAACATCAAAAAACTATTAGATTGATTAATGATAAAGATATAGCTGAAAAATACTGAACCTGAATTCATGAGCAAAATTTTAAAATTATACTAACTACTTTTAAAGAATTTGTTAAAAAAGAGCTATTATCTAATATTGGAGTTACTAAAAGAAAATATATTTCTTTAATGATCAAAATGAGATGGCTTAATATTTTTAGTTATTCATTTCAAAGTCATCATCAAGGTATATATTATGATAGACATGAACAAGATGATGTTTTACAATATTGTGAAGTATTTTTAAAAAAATGTTTAAACATAAGAAATATATATCTAAATATAAAGGTGAAACAATAAAATATATATATCTTAATTTACCTAAAGGAGAAAAAGAACAAATTCTTATAACTCATGATGAATACATTTTATTTTGATGATAGCAAATGTGAAGTATGGGCTAAAAATGAAGAACTACCATTATGAAAAAAAGGAAATAGAAGATTTATAATAGTTAGTGAGTTTCTTACTGAGATTGATAGATGTTTGTATTTACAACAAACTAATATATTGCAAAATCTAAATATACCTGAAGAAACGTAGTGTTATTTAAAATCTGGCAAAAATCAAGAAGGTTATTAGACAGCTGAATACCTTCTTGAATAAATCAAATGTAAAGCTATTCCTATTTTTGAGACGTTATATCCAAATTGTGTAGCAGTATTTGCCTTTGATAATAATTCAAATCATGTTGCATTTGGAAAAGATACTCTAGTTGCAAGCTAAATAAATTTGAATCCTAGTGGCAAGCAACTGATCATGCATAATACTTATTTGAACCAAATTAATAGCCACAATCAATGATATTTTCAGCTACTCATTTTAATGAAAAACTTCGAGATCAGCCTAAAGGAATCAAACAAGTATTAATAGAGCAAGAAAAATGACCATCTAAAGGATTAATATTAGAATATAAAAATTATAAAGAAAATATTCAAGATTCTTCAAGAACTTTTTGTTGTACTTGTCAAATAATCTTTAGAATCTGATTTTCTTGTACAAAAAGAAGCAATTGAAGAATTAATTGAAAAAGCTGGTCATAAATGTATTTTTTATCCCAAATTTCATTATGAACTAAATTTCATTGAAAGATATTGGGAAGCTTGTAAAAGATATACTAGAGAAATTGCAATTATTCATGGAATGGATTACAGCAAGTAATACCTAAAAATCTTGATTCTATATCATTAATTATAATTAGAAAATTTGCAAGAGTGCTGGCGTTATATGGATGCTTATAAAAAAGGTATTAGTGGAAAATTGGCGGAGTATGCTGTCAAGAAATACAACTCCCATAAAAGAATTCCAGATAGTGTTTTAGAAGAATTAAATAAAATTAAAATTAATTAGATAATTATCTTTTAACCAATAAAAATCGATCCACGTGATAAGTCACGTGAAGATCGACAAAAAATTTCGGACTCCTTAATGAGTATAGATGTTTTGCACCATATAGCATTTAAGAGTTATTTAAATCGGAAATTTAATAGATAGCTATTAAATTTTTCGTGTTTTCTACGAAATGCAATATTTTTGTTCTCCAACCAATTCAAGACCATATTTCTTCTACAAATGTAGCAAAAAGAAAAAATCATTTAATTGAAATAGGATTAGACATTAGTTATTATTTATACCAAAATTTAAACCAAAACACGACTTTACCAAACTCAACAAAAGTGTAACTTCACCATTCAAAAACAATCAAAAAATTACACAAAGTAATTCAGCACCTTCAGTATCGCAATAATGAAATATCTGGTTCTTATCATTCCCTGTTGCTTCGTCTAATAAATTTCAATGAGTTACAAATCTTAATGTCAACACATTACGGATTCGTCGGATGACGAGTAATTTGCTCAACGGTTAACTCTGTTTGTGTGGTAACAAAGGAAGGCATTGATACCACATATAAGTATATTAGTAGTAAAACGAAAATTAGGCAGATGCGTTGCAAATATTTTGTCAGATTTTACATATTATGGTATTAAAAATAAAATAAAATAAATAATTCTTTTTATTTTTAAAAATATTTATATTTCTAATATATTTTAATCTACAAAATATAAAAATTATTTCGACATTATTAAAATTTTAATTTTTCGATCTTCTTATTTCGTCCTATTATCAAAGCAATTGCGCCTACATGTACACAGTTATACCGCATCAATAGACTAAATAGACAACATCCGAAACCTTATTGAATGTCAAAAAAAAAAATGTACATTCAGGTAGTGTGACATTATTACATAAAAATGTCAAAATGTCTGGTCACAATGAACGCCAACGAATTTATAATATTTCAGTATATAATTTTTTTTTCCGATTGTAAATCGAGTGTCTTTTGACAAATTCAACAGGTCGCGTATTTAAATGTTTCAGCAACCACCTCCGCGCAACAAATTTAGCAAATTTGCTGCGCGGAGGTAACTTTTGAAAAAATAAATATTATTTTATTAAAATTAGAAAATACAACCAAGAAAACATTTTAACATTTTTTCGTGCTAACTATTTTTTTTTAAAAAAAAGAATACATGTAAAAAATAAAATAAAAATAAAAATATTTTAATTTGGTTCATTTGGATCAATTTCATCTGCTTATAATAATGAATGAATAAAACCAAATGAGATTAATATCTTTTAATACTTTATGATTTTAAAAAAATCTAAATCATTAAATCTTATAATTACCTTGTATATTTAGCGAAAGGAATATACACCAATTGTAAATGATGATGGCACGTAATAATCATTTTAAAGGTTTAGTATTTAAGTAAACAAGTGTATATTTGCATTCCAAATTTCAAGAATATTGAGGATTTATTTCTTTTCGATATAGTGTTGAAGTTTATGTGTACTGGATAATGACATTCAGAATAATATTATTTCTTTTTTTTTTTTTTTAGAGAAATATTCGATAAATTTGAAGAAATCGATTGAACCGGCTGTCTTTTTATCTTAAATTTTTAACGTTAAACGCAGTTATTATCTTTGGTTCGGTCATATCAATTGGTTGTGTATATTCGGTCAATATCAAAAGGACCATGGCTGTGCTGATTATAAGATAAATTATCAAAAGTTTAAATCATTCCTTTAATTGGATCCTTTCAACTCATTACTTAAAAAAGAAAAAAAATAAAAGCTCATTACAACAAAGGAAAAGCAAAAGATATTGTAAAAAAAGAAAAATATATATATATAATTGTTGAATAATACGCGAAATATTACTTAAAAATATGCACATATTTTTAAATTTTATCTTTTTTAGGGGTCGATTCAGGGGGTGTTGGTTATAAAAAACAAAAAGCCACAAATATCAAGTGACTAAGTTTTCTTCTTTAAAAAAAAAAGAAAATTATTTAAATTATTCAATTGTAGTTGGTCATGCAAAAGAAAAACCAATGTTGACGCGCCAACGAGATCAAGACTTAAATCCGTATAAAAATAATGTACAAAAGCGTGAATTTCCTTCATTTAGCTGTTCATGGATTCTGTTTCCCCCAACAATTTACAGTTCTTATCTTTATGAATTACCATAAATTGTTTTATTAAAGTTATGGTTGCATTTAAAAGATAATTTTTTAAGTGTAATTTATTTCGATAAATAAACTTTATTGTGGAAATGCAAAGGAATGTATATGCATTAAGTTAAAACGTAAATCAATTTTTGTCGTTTAGCTTGTAAATTGTCAAAATTATGCACATCCGGTTTGTCCATTTACCATAAGAAAAAAGAAAAATATATGTTCCACAATAATGCTTTCGTTCAAATTGGTCATGACAATAAAGATTTGTATTTCATCATTTAAAGATTAATAGGGTTATTCTAAGCCATATAAAGTAATTACCAATAAGCGTAATGATTTTCTTTTACTTTTTTTTTTTATGAATAAACAAAATTTTGACTTACGGTATGTGATTATAATTCAATTATTGACAAAAAAAAAAAATTTACTTTTTGCTAAATGAAGCTGTTTGCAACTGCCGCTGGAAATAATTCAAAACAAATTAAAGCATCAGGATTATCTTAATATTTGGGAGGGCGTCAGTAAATAAAGGGGAAAATCTGAAATTTTCAATAATTTTAGTTTCCAAGCTAATTTTGAGCACATGACTGTGATCAGTCAAGTGGACCAATAAAAAAAAAGCATTAACAAAATTTAGATTTCTTCCTTTTCTATTGATTACCGCCTATTTATTGAAATAATCTAAGAAAAAAAAAGTTTTTATGATAAAAACTTTATTTAAAAATCATTTTATATAGTAAAGAAATTATTTGTAAGTACTATTTTTTATTAATTTGAAATTTTGATATTAAAAAAGATTCTATTAAAAGTTTTAGCTAATTTTTTTACATTTTTAAGTAATAGATTATTATAGAGTAAATCCTTATAT